TCCGTCCGTCCGTGCAAGCTCTAACTTGAGTAAAAATTGAGATATCTTTATGAAACTTGGTAGACATGTTTCTTGGTACCGTGAGACGGTTGGTATTGCAGATGGGCGTAATCGGACCACTGCCACGCCCACAAAACGCCATTAATCAAAAACAAATAACTTGCCATAACTAAGCTCCGCAATAAGATACAAGACTGTTATTTGGTACACAGGATCACATTAGGGAGGGGCATCTGCAGTTAAAACTCTTTTTTAAAAAGTGGGCGTGGTCCCGCCTCTAATAGGTTTAATGTGCATATCTCCTAAACCGCTAATGCTATAATAACAAAATTCACTAGAAGCAAATGTTTTTAGCACTTCTATTGACGGTGTGAAAATAGTTGAAATCGGGTGGCAACTCCGCCCACTCCCCATATAACGGTACTGTTAAAAACTACTAAAAGCGCGATAAATCAAGCACTAAACACGCCAGAGACATTAAATTTTATCTCTGAGATGGTATAAGATGACTTTATAGGAACCGCGTTCAAAATTAGACAGTGGGCGTGGCACAGCCCACTTTTAGGTGAAAACCCATATCTTGAGATCTGCTCAACCGATTTCAACCAAATTCGGTGCATAACGTTCTTTTCATGTTTCTATGTCATAGTGCGAAAATGGGCGAAATCGGACTACAACCACGCTTACTTCCCATGTAACACCATTTTCAATTCCATCTGATTCTTTCACTTTCCACTATGCAAATCAGGTAACAATGATTATATCGGGGTAAAACTTTGCGTGAATAATGTAATTAAAGTATGCCACCTTGCGGCCAAAAATTGTCTAAATCGAACCAAAACTGTTTAAACCCCTAAGTACTAAATATATGGACCCCATTGCCTATAGTTGACCTTCTACCGAAAATATCAGTCAATCCACAAAGAAATCTCAAACGAGTATACCATTTGACTTTGCGAGAGTATAAAATGTGCGGTTACATCCGAACTTAGCCCTTCCTTACTTGTTTTATCGATAATTTTTAGTATGTCGAGACCTTTGACAGGACTTAATATGCCCTGTTCAGGGTGCGAAGTTGGCAACACCCAGAAGGAAATGTTCTGTCTGTACGTATCTCCCTCAGTTTTTCAGATATTGATGAAACCTTGCACATGTCCTTTTCACCCTAAAAAGCTGCTCATTTCACGGAACCACCGATATCGGGCCACTATAGCATATAGCTACCATGCAAACTGACCGATCAAAAATAAGGGCTTGAAAAGAATATTTTATTTTTGTGAGGAGTATCATTGTTTTAATTTTTTTATGCTGGTGGTAAACCATTGCTTAACCCTACCTGATCGATCGTTGAAGCTTTCAATAAGCTGCAACATGAGCGTACCATCTGCTTGATTAATAAGCCAATCCGGTAATCATCACTTGTTTTAACAGTAATTGAAAATGTTAAAATGTTACAAATAGATTCAGTTTGTTGTAATTGTATCATTGTAACATATCTGCACTTAGTATATCAAACTTCATCGTTTGTAAACTTACGGAAAAATGTTTCGAAAGTTCTATTAGAGATTGGGGTTTCAAGTGAGGATTTGCAAAGGCTGTTGGAATAAAAAGAGTAAAAACTTACTTTGACCTCGACGACTGATCATAAATAGCGATACTCAACGACGAGATCTTATAGTAGTGGCCTTGGTACGTAAAACGAAAGTATTAAGTATGATCCTACTCTTAATCCATAATTCGAAGCACACTTGAGAATTAACTCTGAACTAAAAATATTTGATTCGGGATTTCGACGTCAGAAGGTCATCAAACTGGTTAGAACATGCTGAGAATAACACACACCTCTAAAGATTACGTCACCTAATTTGTCAACTATTATTTGACGGCTTGTTGTTAATTGATTGCTAATTATGTTACCAACCGAAAAAAGATTATTGCTTGGTTGTCAGTGCCTTAACCTCGCAGCACTTACCAGCACATACAATGATAAGTGGAAGATTGCAAACTGCATTAGTCAGCATAAACTGAATGAATGATGCGCAAGTAACTGCGGATATGTCGGCATAAGTGAAAGTGAGAAAGAGATAAAAAAAGTGGCGAAGCAGAACATAAAGAAGAGGCTGCGAAATGTAGGCTGACAGCCCGGCACATCAAGTTATAAGAGAATGTCTTATTATTAGCCGTCAGCAACAATAAATCTCATTAATTTTAAAAATACGGAAATTTCAGCACACAAGCGAGGAAAAAATAATAGCCATTGTCCTTCATTTTGCATCGGCGTAAAAGTGATCGCTGTAAAGATTTTATGAATTATGCATGCTGGCAGAAGGGCATAAAGTTCTCCGCGTTACAAATGGAATGGAATGTGGTTCAAGTTTCCCGTCTATTTTAAGAATACTCGATATTTTGATAATTGAAGTTTTTTTTTAATTGTTCCCACTTACTGTGCAATTTTCGAAGGTTTGGGAAATTATGTTTGAAAAGGTTAAATGACAAAACTATCAAGGAAAACTTATGTTCCGAGATTAGAAACCGAACTTTACATACTATCACAAATTTACAAGAATTAAAGACGTTTTTCCATCGCAGTAAAACAGCTTTCTTAATATTCGAATTATCTACCATAAAGTTAAACTCATTAACGGTATCAGTTTAATCATCATGCTAGGACTGGTAAAATTGTATAGATCGTTATCATTAAATTTTGGTACTGAAACAAATAATGCCAGATGAACATTCCCGCTTAAATTGATTGAGATATTATGGACCCTGACTCTGCTTAATTCATTATAATACCTTATATACCAGTTTTACGATATATATGGGAAAAAGTGTACTGGAGGAATAATGGTTTCGTATTCAGTATATGATGGCTGTGGGAATGTATGTACCGATCTCCATCACTTATCGATCCGAGTTGCCAGACCTCAGAAGTACCATTTGTGCTAAATTGTATTTAGATATTGCTCAATACTCAACGGTAAACTGTATCAATCCAGCTATCTAGTTTTTTACTGAAGTTATCGCAGACGTACCACGGGACATTCAGACTTGCCGATCAGTCATCCTTCCATGGTCAGACAAGATATGCTAGAACGAGTTCGAATGTTTCTTTTTCATTAAGTTTCAATGATTTTTCACTCTGGCTCCTTAGCTTATATTACCTGCTACTTATATCTTTCATTCAAAGCCTTAAGCAGGCTATCGATAGCTTTACAGCTCTGAAATTTTAAACTGGGCAGAATATTTAACAATGTAATATATAATGTAATAGTGTGGGAATGGAATATTATATATCTGTATTTTTTAGCACTCATTTTTCAGAAATTATTTATTTAAACTAAATTAATCTATGTATTTATGGAGTGCTGAAAGATGAGTCCTGTAAATATACTCTACTCAATTACCTTTTTGAAATATGATATCGAGTCAATAATCTGATAGTCCAGATATGACTGTGCAATTGAAAGTCAACGTTCAGAGCAGTATTGGAGCTAGAAAATCAATTTTGTTGGACCAACAAGTGGCTTTATAAGTTAAAATTTTGGATATTTCATTTAGTTTTATGTATTTCTTATAAATTTATTGACCACAGGCAGCAGTTCGCCATTATTCGGTGGATTTGTTGAAATATCTCCGTTTTTTGACCTATCTCCCTGCTTAAACTTCTAACTTGTTTATCATACGCCGCTTATGCTCTATATTCTTCCGATTCCACTTTGTCAAGTGTGAAGGTGAGATCTAAGATGTAAGTGCCCTGTGATGACTTCTAACCTATCATCATTTCTTATTTTCTAAAAATAGTATGTTGGTTCGGAAGTTGGCCTGTCCACGTTAAACGAATAACTTAGTCTGCTATTTTTATTTCTTTCTATATATTGGTTAAGGACTGAGATTATTTGTTTGTCTCTTTACATTTCGTGTTGGCGCTGCGAATAGCTTTACTTGCCGATTAGCAATCCACAAGAAAGCTGATAGACTTGCTTATTAAACCAGCAGTTTGCTTGGTGCATTGTTTTGGCTCAAGTCTGTTTATCCAGTCTCGGCATAAAAAACTAAATTGTAGTCAGATCAAATTTGACGCGGACTGTTGCATTTAAACTACCCGCGAAATCCAAATCGATATATTTTTGTTGCCTAGATTGGTACAACCTTTTTTATTTTCGTGCAAAGTTTGATCTCCATATGTCAATTAGTGTGCCTTTAGCAGCTGTTTGTTTACGATGCGTAGATTTTGTCTGGCGATTTTTAAATATCGGCTCAATGGACTCATGATGCTTTAACTTCAGTTTCGAAAACTGAAAAAAGTCACAAGGAACCAAATTTAGCGTATACGTTGTCTGAGCATACGAGATGTTAAGATCTTCTGGTATCTCTCTGATACCAACCCGCCGATTATTAATGGCTTTAACAGAGGTAGATGGACCTGCAAAGATAAAGCTTACTGCTATGCCTTCTTCACACTTTGATTCAACGGCCTATTGGATATACTGCCGATAACAGTTTGTGATTCATTTAAATGAGGTTCCCATAAATGTTAAATAGAATAGTCGAGGTTATTTGAACTTAATATTATACTATAGAGGAATACTGACTGTATAATATATAATTTAAAAACCTGACACCTCGGCTAAGGTCAAAGCTAAGTTATCCTTTCAAGGTCTTGAAGAACATAAAAATGTTACAAAATTTATTCAAAAAACGATAAACGTTATAAAATATTATTTCAGCACTTTATGCGGTTTATTATGTCTCGACGGTAATTTTTTAAATTTTTTGTTTTTGTACTGCTCGCTATAAAAAACGTCACAATGTACATAATATTAACGTGTATAATGCCAAAAATATGTGATTATTGCAGAGATTTGACTCTAATGCGCAGGCGACTCAGAGATTTTGAGAAATTTTAAACGTTTACCGATAACATCTGTGGGACGTGAGATGATGTGACAACAACAATAAATAATAATAATTACAATGCAATGACATGAATAACAAGAGCAACAACGATAATAACAACATTAACCGCAACATCAACAATAACCTTAAATTGTTGAAATGTTTGTAAATACACACGCACACACACACACACAAGCGCGCGCTCATGCGCACAAACTACAGCGAAATAAATAGATAAACAATACGACTGCCAGCCACACGAAATCACTACGAAAGAAAAACGAGTTAAGAAAGCGAAAAAACAACAACAACAAAACGGTATGGTAGAATCGTGCGACGCTGTTAGCCGCTGTTAATTAGCAGTTTACGATAGCAGCAGCAGAGGATAATGCTGTAAACGGCAGCGCAGATATGATGGCAACAGCAACAACAACCACCACAGCAAGCGATCTGCGTACGATCCTAATCCGTTTAGGTGAGGTTGCTCATCCGCACCGATGTCGGCGTCGCCGTTCGACTTACAGTCACGCGCTGCGTCGGCGCTATTGTTGCTAATTTGTGCAGCGCGGTTGGGCGCGTCGCTAGCTACGGTGCGCGCATGTTGGACGTTGGCGTGCAGTCGCTGCTGTAGCCAGTTTTTCACTTTTCAATACGCGCTCAAGTGCTGCTGACTGTCGGCACGGCCGCTGCTGCAGGTGTTGTGGTCGTTGCTGACTTAAGTCAAGTTGAGTCTGTTTTTGGCTGCGCTGCGGTAAGGTTCTGAAAATCTCCTGGCATTTCAGCTAAGCAAATTGCCAACGACAAAGTAATACTATAAAATACTGAATGAAATGCCAAGTGTTCGAAAGAAGTGTGGCTGAACATAAAGTGCAACATTTGACTTGCGTAATAAGAAAAATTTGCTGAAAGTTATTTGTGCGCGCATAAACGCCACCGCAACGAAGTGCGACGCCTACGCGCAGGCGTTTGAAATTTTCGCAAATTATTTTTCTGTTTTCGAAAATGCATTTTCCACAATTTATGTAATTTTTATTCCAAATGTGTTCGCGAATGTCTTAAATTGTTTTTCTTCATATGAGCCGCATTTCATACAGACTACTTTGTATGTCTATGTGTGTGTGCGCGCGTATGCATGCATAAGTGAATTTTCGTGCGTTGCAATAGAGTTTTCGAATCCGTTGCAGTTCGCGATTTTCTCACCGTTTTCTACTTTGGTTTAGCGTTTCTAAGGCCTACGCTCGCGTATGTGCGCGCGCGTGTCTGTCTGTATGTGTGCGCGCTAGTTTTCGTTCGGTTGTTATGTGCGCGGGTATACTATGTTGTGTTTTTTTTCTTTCAACAACAATTTAAAGTCTAAATTTTACGTTTTTCTACTTTGTTATTGACTTCAGCAATTTGTAACATTTTTATTAGTTGTTGTTGTTGTCTAGTGCTTACTATATACATGCATATGTATACTTGTGCATACGTACAATATTTCATTAATTTATTGTGCTTTTTCAATTACGAGCTTATTATTATTATTGGTATTTTTTACTACTTCACGCAGCTACAACTACTCAAAGTGGAATAGAAATTTTTGCAACGAAACTCAGTCAGTTTTACAGAAATTCAAGCAAAATTGTTTTCCAGGTGAGTAACACTAGCTGATACAGCTAAGAAATCTAAAACAACAAAATAAAATAAAATGAATAAAGGAATAGAAATAAAATTAAGCAAAACAAATTAAATAAATAAAAATAAAATAAAATAAAATAAAATAAAAATAAAATAAAATAAAAATAAAATAAAATAAAATAAAACAAAATTAAAAAAAAATTAAATCTAAATAAAATTACTTTAACTAATTATAATCGAAAATAAAATAAACCAAAATAAAATAAAAGAGTTAATAAATTCAAATAAAATTTAATGCAAATTATGTGAAGATTAATATATGGATATAAATAAAATAAAATAAAATAAAATAAAATAAAATAAAATAAAATAAATTAAGATAAAAGAAAATGTTATCATGTTAAATAAAATGCAGTGGAATAAAAATAAAAAACTTTGTCTAAATAAAATTACTTTAAAAAATTATAATCAAAAAAAATTGTATTTTTTAAAACAAAATCAAATAAAAAATTTAATAAATCCAAATAAAATTAAACGCAAATTAAGTGAAAATTAATATATGGATATAAAAAAAAAAATTAAAAAAATAATAGTTAAATGAAATAATAAAGTATTAAAAAAAGGTGAAAACAATAATAAATAAGAATAAAATGAAATTAAATTAAATGCAATATAAAATAACATATAGGGAAATTAAATAAAAAACTTAATTAAAAAAATTTACTTTAAAATTATAAAACAAAATTAAAAATAAAATAAATTGAAATGAACAAAAATTAAATAAATTCAAATAATATAAAAAATTAAAATAAATTAAGTGAAATAAAGTAAAATCGAAAAGAAACTAAATAAAGTAAAACAAAATAAATAATTATTGATGTTATGTTCTATTAGGAAAATAAAATAAAGCCATTCTGGGGTTTTAAAATTAAAAATAAAATTAAAACTTGAAAAAAAATGATGCGCTGTATTTTAACAAAATATTTATTTTATTTTTCCATGAAAAATATTCGAACATTTATTTTTAATCACAGGCTCATATTCACTTTTGAATTAAGTGTTACTCTTTTTTTTCTTCGAATATTTGATGTAGATCCTGCGAAAAGTTTCGGAAGTATGAGTGTATTTGTACGAATTTTTTAACTTGGTTTAATTGACGCCCAAAACTTTAAACGCGTTTTTCGCAAAACGTCGTTTTCAAAGTCGATGAAAAAAATCTCAGCGAACCGGTTGGACCTATCGACTAGAAATTTTGATACTTGCTTCTTAGGTATAATTGTCAGCTAATGATTGAAGGAATAATATTTATGATAATAATTTCGATTTTTTAAACCATTTTCAAGTATAAATTTTTAAACAACAACGATTTTTTGTTTTGTCAAAAATTAAAATTTTGACTAGCCTTTCGATCACTACCTGTATTCATCATTAGTAGTAATAATATTTTTTCTTTGATTTTAGATCGGCTTAAGGATCAATAAATCTAAATTTTATAAATATGAATCACCTATTATAAAATTACATTAAATTCTGTCAATTTACATTATTTGTTGTCATTTAATGCATAAGATGCCACTTCAAAAAGAATTTACCAAAAATCACGTTTTTTTTGCCTGGCAAAAATTGGAAGAGTTCTAGCTCTTTATTGGCTAAGGATTATTCTTAGTTAGTTAGAAGATTTCTGAAAAACAATCTGTATAATTTTTCTATAGTATCGGCATTGTATATTTCGGTATATATATTCGCTTTTCTTATCTGCTCTTCTTTTTATCCGCTTTAAAAACATCTTTTGCAATATTTAGCCTCGCCTTGTTCTTAATTGGCACTCATTTACTCGTGTGAAATTTTGTTAAATAATTGTGGGAACAATCACATTTTTATTTTGATTGAACAATATTGCAAAGAATAGTATTTCCAAAAAAAAAAACCTAAATTTTATTATTTCAATTTGTTCATATATTTGTAAGATATGGCTTGAAATTTATAGAAAAATGCGATTATAAGCATCAGTATAAAAAATAAACTCGGCCAAGTATCTATCTCCTTACATTTAGGTTTCTCTTGGCTCCATAATTTGACGCTTGATAACTTTTACTAACAACTTTCGGATACTTGAAACTGCAGACTTCGTATATAAAAATTTTGAGAGTAATTTACTCGTGATGTCACAGTAGTGATGCTCTGCGAGAGTCAACATCGTGTAATTATTGTCATATTATATAAAAAACTTTGGGAAGAAACAAGCTGTCAAACAAAAACTACGGTGAAAATTATGATATATTGGCTCAAAACTCGGAATTTATAAATTTTTCACTCATCATGCGCTGAGGTACGAAGTTGTTACTAGTTCACATACGGTTTATCAAAATGTTAAGTTACCTAAGAAATATTTTAAATCAAATTTTTTCAAATCACATTTCAATTCTCATCTAAGCTTAAACGGAATGTTTCACATGAGTTTGACAGCTATTTATGATAATTTTTGACTGAAATACAATTTTTTATTACTATCTCTTGTGTTAAATTATTTATGACCGCACTAAAGTTTTCTTTTCACACAGATTTTCTGATTTTAGCATTTAATTATTACTACAATTGATTTTCCTCTTGCCGTTTGGATGTTTTGTTCTATTGTTATTTCAGTAAAAATCAACTCACCTATGATTGCCGATTAGTTGAGTTGTTATTTGTGTAATCAGCATATTAGCACCTGCATAGTTGCTAGTTACTCTTCTTGGTGGATGTCTGAGAATTTCGAGGTTTAAGTGTATATATTAGAAATAGCCATTATCACATGTCAATGCATGTACTTGCCTTTGTATTTGTATTAAATATGTCTGTAAGTGTGTACATTTAAACATGAAATATTTGACGCCAATTCGCAAGTCATGAGGTGACAACACTGAGGGAATTTTTTCGTTCTTTTTATTTGATTGTTTATTTTCAGTTATGTTCGATCACGTGCTAACGAGTACTATCAACAACGCAAGGTTCAAGTAAAATACATTTGATAAAAATAGTTCCTTCCCCTTGGATTTAATGATATAAGCTTTGTTTTATTGATATGAAAATTAGTAAACAAAATTTCACTCTTGCACTTTATAGTCAGCGAAGAAAACTGCTATATTTATTATATTTTTGTCTTAAATTAACCCTTTGACGTTTGCTGCATTCATTTGAAAAGATAATAAATATCAATATGTATGGTTGTCTTTGGTCTGTCATAATACAAGAGACTTTAGGGCTTTTGATCCATCTGCAGAACCCGATAAGCGGACCGAGTAACGCACGTCATTTTTACTTTCGGAATATGGAACATTTTCAGGCTTAAAATACGATTTGTTTGTTTATAGATAAGAGAAAAAAAAAGAAAATACAAAGAGAAACGTTTATGCACTAAAACTGTCATAAGAAATCTCGAGACCTTACGATACAAGTATGTTATTTTCTTTGTTTTCTTATTTGGGTCTTCTCATTGTTAGCTAATGTTTAACTTCCTTTTCAAACATCTTACTACAGTATCCTACAACATTTTAAACTCCATAATTTCATTCGTAAATAAAAAATGCTCTGCACGAATGTCAATAGAGCTCTTAATCGTATAGCCGAGTCGTTCTTATTATTGATATTTTTATAAGGCGACGCATTTTAGAAGACCTAGTTGGATATTACTTTCTTGTAAGCAGCAAAAGCTCTTCATATTTACTTACGCTTTACGCGATTCAATATTCTGACACCGGCGTTGTTTGAGAGTTTATTTGTTAAATTTTAAGCTTTAACGAGAGTCTGAGCTGTGAAGCCTCCAACTTATGTCGCTTAGTTGTCAGTAGAGAGAGTTTCCTTATGCAAAAAAATTTTATATTATGAACGCATAAAATTCGGTTTGTTCGTTATTCTTCCTCTTTTATTTGTATTAAATTTTCACATTAACAAAAAACTAAGTAAGTAAATGAGTAATAAAATTCAGAACAATCCAACCGCATTTTTGAAACACTTTTCTAATATGACGCTCGAGGGAGTCGTACGAACTATGTCTGCGACAAAGTTCAATTTCACAAATCCATTACCAACCGGAATTGTCAGAATTGAGACTTCTCAGGGCAAAAAACTACACACAAACACTAATACATTCATATCTCCACGTGTATGTGTATGCGTGAATTTATTTATGAAGGTGCGTTTGCGTGTATGTGTGTGTGCGGATGTAGTGCAGCAGCTGCAACATGCCAAAGCGCCAACAGCGACAAACCATTTCTCAAAACTTTGCCACACTCCACTCTGCACTCGCACTTTGTTTACGCTCCTCGAGAGCCATTCATCATTTCCTGCAACCGTCGCACATTGTTGTTGTTGCGTTATTATTGTATAACACTGTGTCCGGGTGTCTGTGTATGTGTGGTAGGTCTCGGTGCTTGTATATGTGTGTGTGCGCACACCGTTTTTCTCTCCTGACGCGTAAGCTAGTGTTATCGCCCGATGTCTTGTTTCTAAGTATGTTTGTTTGTGTAGTCTGGTGTTGTTGGTGTAATAGCGTTGTTTTTGTTTTTGTTGCCAAAATTCCTAAGCTTTAAGTGCATTTTGCAGCAAGTATTTGCTGGCTGCGCCTAATTCGCATTCTAAGCGCGCGAACGCGTCGCACATCCAGAATGCTGATTGCAACGTTTCGCGCCCGCTTGGTTGTGTGTATGTGTGTAGTAGCGACGCAGCGCGTTGTAGCTCGCATTGTCATAGCAATTGATTGCATAAATGTTCGCATATTTGTAGACATTGATGTAATTATATCTTATATCTGTGTATATATATGTATGAATGCCTGTATATGCATGTATGTGTATGCATATGCGCGTTTAGCTGCAAAAGGAGCTATGCACTTGCGGTGAGCGCTAAACTTCGCAAGCAGATACGTTATGTTTATAAGTATATATGTATCTACGAGTATATTTATATATATTCGTATATTTGTATGTATATCCCCCTCGTTGGCTTCATTGCTAGCATGGCGGCTCAGTTTGGCA